TTACGTGTATACATCGACACACACATACATTTTGAAAATAAACGTTACACTCAAAAATGTAAAAGGAAATATACTCAGTAATATCAAAAGCTTCTCTCTGCAAAGCTATATTACATGTTTCTTCTTAAGCTATATTACATGTTTCTTCTTGAAGGCCGGTCCTGATATAGGGGCAGCCGCTCAAGCTGCCCATAAATTACTATCATTCGTTTCTTTTTAATCGCAACATGTTAAATTTTACACTATTCACATGTTCTACTTTGACCACATTTTACGCTATTATTTTATGAAAATTATTTTTCAGAAAAATATTGTTCAATTCATCTCATTAGTATTTTCAAAATCTGATTTTTAATTTTTTTTCTTTACTAATAGAGATTAAGATATAATTACGGTCAAAGACGTGCGTTGGCAAGTGTAAAATGTAGACCGTTGCAACTAAAAAAGAACAGAGGAAGTATTTAATAGAAGTATATATATTGAGTCATGTTCACCTCAGGCGCACTTGATCGGCACTTAATCCAATTTGAGGTTCTTCCCGATGGAAATGTTTGATTAGATTTTGTAAGAACTTGTTTCATTAAGTGAATATTAAGTCCATAAAAATTCAGCTATAAATTCAACCGCGAAGTCAGCTAAATAAATTATTGAAAAACACTGCGCTTTATATGTGTAAGAAGTGCAATATTTTTCAATAATTGATTTAACTAATTTCCCAATCGAAATTGAAACTGAAATTTTGTGGAAATAATCCATTCTTCGTGAAGAACATCCTCACAAAATTTCATCAAAAGTTCGACGTGGAAGCCCTTGAAAGAGACACGTCTATAATGGATATGATGTCTCGTTACACGTGTCTGACCAAATCATTTCCCTACACTTTAACACCCCGTAAAAGATATCCTTCAACCCTCATATCCTTAGACTGAGCCACAGCGCCACAGCGGTAGACCTACACACGAAACATAACGGGATGACTTTCTATCTTCCTCGTAGAAGCCGAGAATTAAAAAAATGATAGTATTATTGACAATTTTGCTTCTAAGGATGTTCAAAAAAATTGTTTCGCTTATGATACCGAGTAGTTCTATGGACAAAAACATATACTTGTGTAAGAAATTTTGTTTTGACAATGAAACTTTTGTAATACATTCTTACATTATATTATAGGAGTATATAATTAGGGGCCTATTTTTTGTCTTTTGTCCCGAGCCTACAAATTATCAGGGCCGGCCCTGTTCTTCTTTATAATTTTTCATTTATAAGATGGGTGTGTAGTCTGTTGATCAGATTATTACTTCACGGAATATTTGTGCACCGAGTTTTTGTCATTTTTGTTCCCCCAAATATTATGTCAATGACATTTTTGGTACTCAATTTCTAATTTTTCCATTTTTAATCCTCGACTATTGTGGTAGAGACAATTTTAGTCCCCGACTTCAAGATTTTCCACATTTAGTCCCTAAGTATTGTCAAATTGACACTTTTAGTCCTCCCATTATGAATTTGACACAATAAATGGAGGACTAAAAATGTCACTATTATAATAGTTAAAGGACCAAAAGTGTCACTTTTATGAAAGTTGAAGGATTAAATATGAAAATTTTCAAAGACGAGTACCAAAAGTGTCTCTAGCGCAATAGTCAAGGACTAAAATGGAAAAAATAAAAGTCGAGTATCAAAAGTGTCAATGACATAATTGTCGGAGGACTAAAAGTGGAAAAAACTCTTTGTGCACCTTTGTCAATCAATTTTCAAAAAGGTTCCTCGGATTTGCACCATTGCTACCTATCTTTTGCTTCAATTTAATTTTCTCCTATACCAATACATAGTATAATATGTCAAGATTAAATATCAAAGAACAATAATCACTTCTATTCTAACCAAATTTGTTATGTGCGTACATGGCATGTGACATTAGGTTTCATGTACTAGTATATAAATGATTGATTTATGCTAACCATCAAGGGAAACATATACTTTGTACAATATATCATTTACACATTCATTATCAATCATATAACTTTCATATACCACATATCAAAAGCGTACGGAATAACATTATTGCATGGCTCAAGCCCTCACAATCCGAAACACACTACTACCCAAGTACCCATGCATCCATGAATGGTTCCTACTTCCTATATATATATATACTTATCCACGCATAAACCCCTTATTCAGAATACACAATTAATCATGTTCCTCCAGACCCTTTTATTCCTCTCATTCTTCTTCCCCTCCTCACGAGCCTTAGATTTTTGTGTGGGGGACCTGTCATTACCCCCGAGCCCGGCGGGCTTCCCTTGCAAGAAATCAGTGGGCATCAATGACTTCGTTTACTCCGGCCTAGCAGCGGCCGGAAACACCACTAACATCATCAAGGCTGCAGTCACCCCAGCCTTTGACGCCCAATTTCCGGGCGTCAACGGGCTGGGGCTATCTATGGCCCGACTTGATTTGGCCATAGGCGGTGTCATTCCCCTCCACACGCATCCCGGAGGGTCGGAGATCCTCATGGTCATTAAAGGGTCAATTTGTGCCGGATTCGTATCGGCCCTTGAGAACAAGGTATACTTCAAACAGCTTCACACCGGGGATGTGATGGTTTTCCCTGTGGGATTACTTCATTTCCAAATAAACTCTGGGAAAACTGAGGCTGTGGCCGTTGCTGCCTTCAGTGCCCCAAACCCAGGCCTTCAAATCACAAGTTTCGCTTTGTTTATGAATGATTTGCCCACAGAAACTGTGAATGCTGTTACTTTCATTGATGTGACTCAAATCAAGAAGCTCAAGGGTATCCTCGGTGGCAAAAATTGATGGAGGGAAATTGCTCTTTTGATCATAAATCTACTACCACTCCCAATATTTCTAGTCAATTAAGAGTGTATCTGGAGTATTTGTCTTATTTCTAATAATTGTATTATTAGAGCTTTTTTCTTAAGTGTTCTTTCATTCAAGCACTTAAAGTGCTTTTATGATGAACACCAACTTGTTTTTTAATTTCCACTTAGTTAAATAAGCATAAAGAGTGCTTTTTGTTGTTAATTTGTGTTTCCTCAGCTCGGCCAAATGCTTCTTTATTAATTAAGCGAAAGTAATCCGTTTCCTAAAAGCAGTACTAATTTCCTGCACACAATTCAATCGAAGTGTTTTCACAATTAAGTTCTCAATTGCACTTTTTGAATCAAACTTTATAAACTTTAACCGTTTATTAATTACAATTTACATTACTTTATCATACAAAATGAATTTTATATAATTCATTGGAGTATACGTTATTCAACTATTAATTCATACTACCTCCATCCCAATTAATAGGGGTGGACTCGGGCCGGGCGGCCTGACCCGGAACCGGCCCGCCCACTGTAGCAACCGCCCGGTCGATACCGGTTCCGGGCCCGGGTCCTCCATTTGGTGAACCGGCCCGGCCGGTTCGGGCCCGGTCCGGGCGGAAATTTCTTTTTTTTTTTTTTTTGATTTTTTTTTAAGTTTTGGGTTGGATTAGGTATTTTGGGCCATTTGAGGTGGTTTAGGGTGGTTTGGGGTTGAGGGGGAGGGATAGGGGGCTAAATAAGAGAAGCAAAAAAAAAAAAAAATATGACCCGGGTGGCCCGGCCCGGAACCGGCCCGGTCTGGCCCGGAACCGGGAGCCACCGGTTCGGGTCCGGGCCCTCCTTTTGGTGAACCGAGGCCCGGCCGGTTCAAGGCCCGAACCGAGTCCACCCATAATCCCAAATTAATTTGCAAAATTGACTTTTCTTGATCAAACAGTTTCATTTTATTCACTTAATTAGGATGCCATTTTTAATTATATTCTAATTTGGAGTTCAAACCTTTGAAGAGATTTTAATGTAGTTTCTAAATATATACGAGTAAATTTTAACTATTAAAATTTATTAGTTATCAATAGGAAGGATTTAACTTTAACATTGATTGACAAAAATGTTGACTTCGCAAATCAGTTTGAGACGCTATTAGATTTATGTATATAGACTAGCGGCATTCGCACGATGTGCGAATGGTGCCCAATGTGATTATAAATAAATTGAAGAGTATTATTATTACATCATGAATGCTAATACTATTTGGAAATCAAGTTTAATACTATAGGGGGAGAAATTTTAGTGATACTTAGATATGAAACCAAATGCAACAATTATAGTTGCTTTGAGCACAATTTTTTATGCTTGTTCTCAGTGTTGTAAGACCATTTGGAGTGGTGCAAGAGTCTAAATGTTAAAAATGGACTCCGTCGATATGAAAACAGTGTTTTGACTCCTATTCTCTGCATTCCAGCACCGTCAATAAAATACATTCAACACATTTTTTTACATATCAATTTAGTAAAACATTAATTAAATTATTATAAGTAATGTTTTCTTTTAAATTTTTTCTCTGATTAATTATAAAATAAAAAAAGACACATTTCGATGTAAAAATAAATAAATTTCATTAAAAATAAATTTTGAGAAAAATATTAATTAAAAATAAGTGAAAAATAAAATAAATTATTTCAACTATTGGATTTAAATTTCAGCCGTTGGATCATTTTTTTCGTTCAAACACTGTCAAAATCATCACAGCCGTTGGATCTACCAAAAAGTTTTTTTTAATAAATTTGGTAATGCATGCTGACCTTATGCTTGCATGAACATGACATCAGCGAGGAAAAGTACTCAGCTGCCAGCCGTGTGCTCCCAGCCTGCGCACATCAGGTATGCCCCCACCCCCTTTTTCTTTTCTTTTCCATTTATTTTTTGGCTGTCCAAAACTCCTCCAAATTTAACCCCTTCCCTCCCCAAACCCATTTTTAATACCCTCTACACTCCACCAATGTATGAAATTAGGAGTCAAAAATGCCATTTTCACATTTTGGACTCCTAATATCTCACCACTCCAAATGGTCTAATGTGCTAAAACGGACCACTGCATGTCGTAAATTTAATTGCAATAATCAAGAGATTAGATTGACACTATTATATGTAATTTAAATAGTATAGTTATTTTTTTTTTAAATGTACATAGTTTGAGTATCGTCATGCATACATGTTTTACACACAGTAAGATCATCATTTAATACAGTATACAACCTAAATAATAAATTATATATGCATCATATGGAGTTCAGCTAGCTCCTTAATTATTATTACATACTTATAATTCACAATAGATAATAAGGTACGAAGCAGTATCACTTTTGTCTCTTCCCTTTGTTTTTGGTAGTAGGTGCAAGAAGTTTACTTGGTTCTTCATGTTGAGTACTGCATTCACCTTCATTTTCCTCCGCAAGAATCAGACTTCGTTTAGCCTTTGTTGTTGCAACCTCCACATCAATATTAACATTATTTGTAACTGGCTGGTTTGCTTGCAAAGAAAGAGAGAGGACACTCATGTTTTTTTGCATTTCTCCATGGTATTGTTTAATGGTTGCCTTGACAGCAATAGTGAAAGTAAGGTCCTTGATTCTCTCATTAATCTCAGCACATTCCACAGAATTAAGATGACAATTGGTGTTGATCAACTTCAGCAACTTATACACTTCGTTAGTGAATAAAGCTGTTTCAAGCACAACAGTGTCATCAGAAATCTCTATAGCGAGTCGATACCTATGAATTTAACATATTTCAGTGTATTAAATATGTGTGTGTGTGTATAACGATGCAATTCAATGGATTCAATCATTAAAGACAGAGTAATACAGTTTACCTTTTAGTAGTAGTTCCGTTTTTAAATCCACAATGTAGGCACTCGAAGCTGACTCATTCGATTGAGTTGACTTTTTTGTTGCAACTATTGCACCCAATGTAATATGGTATGACCCCATGTCCAATGATTTTCATTTTGCCCTCTATCCAAAGGATTGTTGCCTTCAAGATTATTAATATTAAATAAAACAATTGTGATTTATAATATTCAACTGAAGCTTACTAATTTAAATAAAGAATTCTTACCTGATTAAGACATTGTAAAGCAACAGAGACACTTGATTTTGGTTGCTGTTGAGGATTTCCAAGACCAACAAGAGAGTCCATATATTCTTTTCCCGCAATTACCCTTTCAATCTCATCTTCATTGGAATTTCTCCTATATTTAATCCACAAAATATGAACACATGTTATATGTAAAAATAATTAACATGAACTTTGATTTTTAAAAAATAATGAGTTAAAATAGATAGAAGTGGTTCTGTGAATCACCAATCCTTTAAAAGAGATGCGTGTTGGCCGTGTGGACAGAGTTCTATTGATGTGTCATAACTTGTCGTCAAAGACAATCCTACAGCAAAATCATTAAAAATTGTTAATAAATAATACTGATATTCCTGCCAAAGGTGTGAAATTGGTGGATTTTGTCTTCTACTGTGTCATGTTGTATAAGTTGTGTAGCTGTTTTTTTCCTTGTTAATTTGCTGTAAATGTAAATAAGTAGTTGAGTCTCAGCAAACTTATATTTCAAGAGTAAGATAAAGATGGCAGCCTAGTATACTCATTATCCAGTGTTTTAACTATGTAAGCATAGTAAGTGACTAATGATTTAAAATTTGAATGTTATCAAACATATAAAATTATAATTAAAAAGGTTATTTTTTTTCTTTTGGTTTTAATCTGATTGAGATAGATATTGTTAATATTAGTTAATTTAACTTACCTTGATATGTTGTTACAGCAACATGCTTTGCAAGAATTACAGGGTATATCTTGGATTCCAATAATTTTTGTATTTCAACTCCCTGAATAGCAGCGTGCTCATCCCACATGGTTAGGATCACTGGTGTTGCCCTATATGTGTGTGTGTGAGAGAGAGAGTAATGTTAAAGATGAGGTGCTTCATATACAGTAAATTTGGTACTATCTTTGAGATGCTTTATAGTTTTTTTAAGGTGGTATGAAAACTTTTTTTTATATTTTATTTTAGTAGAACAGCAATATAATGTTGGCTCTATCCTTCCAAATTAAATCAACGTGTTGACCGTGTTGCTCCTAAGTTGACCTCGTTGACCATCTAGCTCCGAGAATTGACATGCAGAATAATCACTAAAAAGACCTAAAAATTGTATTAGAAGCTCGAGACGCGTCAGACGCTGTCCTAAGGAATTATTTCCGGCGTACGGAAATTTCCCCCAGGATATAACGAGCCCTTCGGTTATAAAACCGGTACCAGAACTAACGAGAAGAAAATAGTATATGAACCCATCAATCAAAATTATAATTTGTACTATATATTTCTCACGTAAATTAAATGTAGTGTATGTTTTAGGTGTATGCTTTATAGCCTCTGCTCTCATCACAACTCCACGCTGGATCTCCTAGGAGTGAAGATTATATAGTACGAATTAGTAGTCCAAGACTTTTCCTTTCACCAAAACAATAAATATAATTTAATGGCACAATAATAAAAAAATTAAGTTAGACAATTAATACTTGTAAACGGATAGTGAAGCTTAAGTGTAGAGTTGCCTCTACATTACAAATACTAAATTAATAATGAGTGAATATTGGCTTTGTTTGTATTAAAGTCTCAAACACATGAGATGAAGAAAAATTGGCTGATTAAAACCGTTAACTTAATTAATTTAAAACAATATCAGATTTTAATTACCAACATCCATGAAAATAAATGATTGTTTTGCATACATAAATACATACATAAAATAACAACTTAAAAGTAAAATTTTATTCATTTGAAATAAACTCAAATTTTCCAACAATCCCCCACATATTTCAAATGAATAATTTAAGTATTTAAAATAGCAATTCCTTACTGGGTTCATATATGGGGTGAGGTTTTTCAATCTGGTGTCCGTAGACTTGAACCAGACCTAGACGCCTAAGTCTTTAAATACCGAGTTTATTGGTGAAACGTATAGTTTGTATGAACCAATAATCTACTTTGGTAAGTCAGTGTCTTAATAGATCATTTTTCACCCCCACCTTTCTCTTCGTTAACGCCGTGGTGCGCCTTTCGGCCGTGCGCGTGCCTAGTGTTCTTGAGTGCTCTAGAAGCGTTGTCAATGCTTCATGGAGGCGGCCCCACCTCACACTCATATAGGTGATCTTATCAAGTGTGTCCCGCACTTAACACACCACCGACAAGGGCTATGACAATCATTAAGAGCTTTAGCTCAACCTCACAAAGAAGTGCAGTCTAGCCTTCCACACCGTAGAAATGGACATTTTCAAGGCTAGCAGAACAAATAGAAGACTTGTTATTACCCATATGAACTTGCTTCATGGGATCTCCAATCACACAAGTTGGGTTCCCATCCCTATTTGTTATCAAAGTGACATTAGTCCATTCCCCTTGATGTTTAAATTAATCATTTAACGTCCTAGGGATTCAGTCAAAGGAGTAGCTAATTCCTTCTAACTTCACAAAATCAATGGAGATAATTCCATTCTTCAAAGTCATTTGGACAAATTATATTTCTCAAACATCATTGCACCACTTTTAAGGGTGAATGGATATCCACTATTTTATTTTATCTCATGTGAGTCGACTCATATTACGTCGTTGTATCCCGGCAATACAACGGATAACTCTCAATAAGATATAGCATCGATGCGACACTTTTGTACATCAGATACTTCCACTAATATGTTATATCCTAACGGATAATTCTCAATATATAACATCATTGTATCATCATAGTACAATGGATAATTCTCATATATAACATCATTGTACCCCTTTAGTACAACAAATATTTCTCAAGAAAACATATCATCGTTGTATCAATATATTACAACGGATAATCTCAATCGGATATATCATAATTAATGGTACCTCTCAAATACCACAATGCCCATTTGTATTTTTATATGTTGGCTCAATCTTCTGACATTTTAAATAATGACGGGTTTCACATAATTTGTTAATTGTAACAAACTCACTCCCTTTTCTAACATACAAATTGAGCCTTAGCTTGAAATCACATAATGTGTTTTGTCTTTAGTATATGTATTAAAGTCGTAAGGGATATTCACAATTTAACACTAAAACGTGCCAAACTTTATAAGAAGTTTCTCAATATAATGATATTAAAATACCAACATTCTTCCTTACGGCTTTAATACTCAAAATTACTCTTTTTTTTTTTTTTTCATATATCGACTCAATATAGATACTGAAATAAACTTATCAAAAATTCCAGCAACATATAAACAATCACACATATATAATATAGTGTGTACACAATTTTGAAAACATCATCTTATTAACCTTAATATATAGCTTAAACTATTGCACACAAGCACATTATTTCTTCAATATAAGAAAACCATATGCCCCACTATTTCAGCATATGAATAAACAACCAAAAGCTATAGAAGTCGACACAAGGTGGCTAATAAGCCTAACAAAAAAAAAATTAGCGGCATAAGAAAATGATGATCCACGCCAAATTTGAGAAAATAAACATTTCAAATAATATAACTTTCCCCTTCTAAAAAGTACTTCTTGAGTACACTATAATTTGAAATGATAAATGTAAATAATTTACATATTTTCAGCATATAAAAAGCAACAAAAAAATATCTTTGTAACATGCAATAGACTTTAGCTGAGCACCCCCTCAATTTTAAATATTTAAAAACAGGTGCATAACCCTTCTAAAATTCACCAAGAGATAATTTCATTTTTATCTAAGATAAACCATCACAACCTTTATTTGCATATAATACACGCTCGATTTTTAAAGAACCACACCAAAGCACTACATGCAGTCTAATAGTAACAAAGTAAGCATAGTAAAAAATTGGTTCAACGATTCTTCAACATAACAACAAAGTAATTAATACTTTGTATAATTTAAAATGACTATAGAGATATTATGGAGAGGGTATCAAATGTTAAAAACGTTTTCAGCATTAAAAGGGAATTTAATAGTCATAATTTTAAAGACTAATGTTAGAATTTCCCTAAGTTGATCAAATACTTTTACGAACAATTAAAGGGAAGGGTAGCCTTGTATTAACAAGTTAAAACTGAAATGAAATGGATGACCACGTCCAACAATATACATGTTTTTGACAACTAAAAAATTCTCTGATTGTTCCATTAATAGTGTAAGACCTTCTCATATGTCATACCAGTATGAAAAAGTAGAATGCAAATAAATACACTTTTATTCAACCAAGAAACTTAAACAATTAAGTGAGTCGGTCAAAATCTCAATCAAGTGAAATTGTCATTAAAATATCAAATTTTATATGATGTGAGCTTAAACTTAACAACCATTTTGTCATCCCCTATAGGGCTATAGGAGGATAAACCTGTTTTTTTTAAAATTCACAAATGTGTTTGGTCGCCTCAATATCCACCATCTATTCATTCACACATCACTAGTCAATTTGAAAAATTAACCGCACCAATTATATCATCACCACCAACAAAGTTTACACTTTATTTTGGTGGATTGTTTTCCCCAAAACTTTCATTATCTAAGAGTGACTTTTTGAACAAAAGCTATATAAAAAAAAACATACTGTAATTTTGCCCATTGTTGGGAGCTAGAAATGTAGTCGTACTTTTGGCATCACTAGTCACAAGAAGTGTGTCCGCCACGTTGACTGTTCCGTAGCTGTAATTTTTGTTCGCCAATTAATTCCTTAGATTGTTGGCTCTATCCTTCCAAAATCAACGTGTTGACCGTGTTGCTCCTAAGTTGACCTCGTTGACCATCTAGCTCTGAGAATTGACCTGCAGAATAATCACTAAAAAGAACTAAAAATTGTATTAGAAGCTCGAGACGCGTCAGACGCTGTCCTAAGGAATTATTTCCGGCGTACGGAAATTTCCCCCAGGACATAACGAGCCCTTCGGTTATAAAACCGGTACCAGAACTAACGAGAAGAAAATAGTATATGAACCCATCAATCAAAATTATAATTTGTACTATATATTTCTCACGTAAATTAAATGTAGTGTATGTTTTAGGTGTATGCTTTATAGCCTCTGCTCTCATCACAACTCCACGTTGGATCTCCTAGGAGTGAAGATTATATAGTACGAATTAGTAGTCCAAGACTTTTCCTTTCACCAAAACAATAAATATAATTTAATGGCACAATAATAAAAAAATTAAGTTAGACAATTAATACTACCTTCGTCCCACTATGTTTGGGACAAGAGAAGTTGGCACGGTTATTAATAAAAGTGGGGTTATGTGGTTGATATTGAATTGATAAAGTAAGAATAAAGTAAGAATGATTTAGAACCACACAAACTTTCCCAAATAAGGTATGAGACAATCTTAGTGGGACGGATCGAAATGGTAAAATGAGACAATTATAGCGGGACAGAGGGAGTACTTGTAAACGGATAGTGAAGCTTAAGTGTAGAGTTGCCTCTACGTTACAAATACTAAATTAATAATGAGTGAATATTGGCTTTGTTTGTATTAAAGTCTCAAACACATGAGATGAAGAAAAATTGGCTGATTAAAACCGTTAACTTAATTAATTTAAAACAATATCAGATTTTAATTACCAACATCCATGAAAATAAATGATTGTTTTGCATACATAAATACATACATAAAATAACAACTTAAAAGTAAAATTTTATTCATTTGAAATAAACTCAAATTTTCAAACATATAATAACTAGTACGCCTTTTTTTTGTAAAGTACAGTTTTGAAATGCTGATTTCAGAATAGCAATTGTAAGAGACAATTAGAAGTAATGTTCAGAAATGGTGTAAGCTTTAGACGTTGCCAACATGATTGTGTTGTCCATTTGATCCTTGTGAATAAGTTTACCTATGATTGTAAAACAAGACGAAGTGAATAGACTTGTTGGGAAATTTTAAAGTAGCATAGTGTGTAGCAAAAAGTGATGAGTTTGTACGATTAACCTATGTTTTGAGTATATGTTTCTTTGCACAACTTTGCAGTTAATTGTCATTCCCTTAACTAATGGTTTGAAGAATGTTTTCGGGTGGAAGATAACATGACCATGTAACCCCTGGGCTGAGGAAATTCGAAGGGTCCTCTTGCCATTTTTTTGACTTCAATATATGGGTGATCTGTGTAAGTATTAGAAAGTGGTCAAGGCATTTTATCGAACATGTGGTTGACATTCATTAAATCCTTTAGTTTTAATTGTACTTGTTTAAAAGGTTGCTACCACGATGGACTGTGCAGGCAGTTTTTGAAAACTAACAAAGGATTTAACAATTTCAGAAAGCAAGATAGAAATGGATTTAGAAATAGGTTTAAGAAGGAAGAATACCTTTAGTATTGGCAGGAGAAGATGAAAGGGGAATATAGCCTCACAGAATGAAATGAGAAGGAAGAATCCTGTTTATGTAGAAGAGAATGGAAATACCTTCGCGTACCGGCGGGATTGGTTAATGGCGGTTTTGTAACCGCACAGAGATTATTTGTAACCGCCCGTACATAAAAAAAGAGCAAAGTGGAATAGTGGATTTCGGTGTTCGAATATTTCCGTTTAACGGAATTTTAAGACTTCCGTCTGATGAGACGATAAATTGAACGGTAAATGGACCCTGCTAACAAAGTTTGCTTTTATTATTTAAACAGAGATTTTAGATGTTTGGGGTCAAACGTCCACCTAGTAAAAGTCAAACTTCGAACTTAACATCGAAAGGAGTAATAGAAGTCCTCACACTTGGAAAGGGGTGGATACACCTCATATATAACATACCAAGTAATTTATTTAAAGTAGGAAGTATATTGTAGGATTTTTTTTTAATATAAATGTAGGATATTTTCAAACATTTCTATTTGATTATTTTTCCATTCTTTTATGTGATCATCTCTTGATAAAACTCAGGAGCAATTGAATAAAGAATAAGTCAGGAAGAAGAATAAGAATAGCAGAAGACTAGAAGAGATGATCTCGATATATTTTTCCTCCCCTATTACATTTTTCCTCCCCTATTACATGGATGAAAACACATATTTAAACACTTGAAATACAGAGGAGTTCCACTCCTACGTGCATAGTGGTCTCCCCCCACAAAGCCAATAACTAAAATTGTAAACAAATGCAACTGCCTAGTGGTAACTAACCGTAAGCCAATAACTACAACAAAGGAAATAATAATAATAATAATAATAATTATATGTGAAAATAATAAGACTCCAGCAGTCCAATGGGCCTATCAATACCCCCTCCTGAAATAGTGACCTTGTCCCCAAGGTCGAAAGCACTCCAAGCAGAAAATTATTCTCGCATAGGAGCAATGTCTTCCCATGTGACATCCTCTTGTGACAGATGGCACCATGTATTCATCCCAGGTATCCTAAAGAAAGTTTTGGTGGACTCTCCTCGGGTGGAACTTCCTCATCCTCGGGTGCTGCTTCCCCACCATCCAACAAAAGGAGTTGTGGTTGTTTACAATGATATCCCGGAGTAAACCGCTCTCTGCACAAAAAACAGAGGCCGAGTTGCCGTCTACGTTGCATTTCATCCCACGGTAATTGCTTGATGGCAGTAGGAGTTTTGTTTTGGTTTTTGTGTCGGTGGTGGACCCAGAATTCCCGCGGTGGGGCTAGGCTTGGCAGCACCAGAATGGAAGGAATTCCGGGTACTCAGTTGCCATTTTTCTTCTATTAGTCGTGCATGGCCAAAAGCATCCTCTAAGGTTCGTGGTTTTTTTTGTCTTGACTTCGAGCCGAATTTCATCTTTGAGTCTGCCGACGAAACAACCGATCACAAATGGTTCAGGAAGATCATCTATCTGGTGGCTAAGTTGCTCAAAAGATTCCTGGTAAACAGCAACTGTAGTGGTTTGTTTAAGACGAGAAAGAGCCTCAGACGGATCTTCGTATTCTGTTGGTCCAAATCGCACCCGCAAGGACCTCACAAATTCTGCCCAAGAAATTGGGCCCCGACGCTTGGTCATCCAGCAGAACCATTGTAGTGCCAATCCTTCCAGATTCATGGCGGCTAATCCAAGTTGTCGTTAGGAGTCACACCATAGAACTCGAAATATTGCTCCACTTGGTATATCCATCCAGTAGGGTCACCACCCGCAAATTTCGGAAACACCTCTTTCGGTTCGTGTGGCCGGGGAGTGGGGCGGCTGGTTTCTCCATTTGCAAAGGGGTTAACGTTAATATCCATGGCGGAGGGATCCCGATTGAGGCGCCGGCTCACTGCTTGTGTCACGCCCTAGACCGCAATCCAAGCACGTGTACAACCGCCGTATAATCAAGTGACGTCACCCGCGAGTCAACCTCACTTAATTACACAAGGCGTTCGAGAATAAAATCCATCCATACCCAGTAGTAAACATACATAACAACATCACATTTAAACCAATGAATAGCGGAAATATTCAACGGTAAGTCATAAGCCACAACCGGCCAACAACAAGGGCATGCAAGACCCAAAAAAAATAGTTTATAGTAGAACAAATATTCATGAGCATGTGTTCGGTAGTTTGAAAGAAAATAAGGAAGCACGAACCACGTCTCCCTGGAGTTGATATCACCCGTAAGAAGGTGCAGGTAGCAAGCCCTAGCTTCAACCTGAAAATGGTGGGGGCCCCGAAGGGGTCAGTACAAGTACCGAGCGAGTAGCAGGCTAAATATAGAATAACTAGTGTTTCAAGTATAAGACCCAAACATAGGGTGATACTTATGTAAATAGTCTTTTCCCCCAAGTTAAGAAATACTTACTAGTATATATACACTTGGAAAATACTTGATCCGTAGATCACTGTTTTGTTTGGGAAATAGTAAGTCAATATTCTTGACTAAAAACCTTAACCCACCCATATACCTATGAGTGTATAGGACTCCTCCTTGTCCCTATTTCACTATCATAATCTATGAGTTTTGAGGATCATAATCCCTGGGTACTCCACCAACTTATATTTGAGTGTTAAGGACTTTTAGTCCTAGGATCCTCCACCAATTTATAATCCGAGTGTTAAGGACTTTAAGTCCTAGGGTCCTCCACCAATTTATAATCCGAGTGTTAAGGACTTTAAGTCCTAGGGTCCTCCACCAAATTTGTAATCCGAGTGTTAAGGACTTTAAGTCCTAGGGTCCTCCACCAATTTATAATCCGAGTGTTAAGGACTTTAAGTCCTAGGGTCCTCCACCAATTTATAATCCGAGTGTTAAGGACTTTTAAGTCCTAGGGTCCTCCACCAAAATATTTTCCTCTGATCAACCTCACATCAACCTAGATAGAGTCTATATCATATCTATTCATTCATAGCTAAATCAATACATAAAGCTTATGTATCACAATCCATGCAAAACCATGCATTTATATAGATTTGTAATTAATTAATACCAACCGGTATTAATTAAATCCATTGTCCATCGGTCAACGTTTTCGTTTACCGCCATTTCATGCCTTGTGTGTATCAACTTAATCATCATTTAATTAAGTTAATAATATTCATTTGTGCTTCTAATACACTTCAAACAAATATGCACTTTATATAATTCTTCATATCATATTCCATGCATAAACAATTAATTTCTTTCATACAAATTTAAACATGTTGGCAAATCACATGTTTAAATATCTTTTAGACATCATTATGAACACCTATAACATTTATTTAGGTAATCTCATAATTAACCCAAAAGTTATTAGATATTAAGCCGTCCACTCACCTTGAACTAGCGTTATGAAGTTCTACCCCTCTTGGTTGAACTCCGGTGAAACTCCGGCGACAACTCCGGCCACTTTTCCAACTTTGTGAAATCACTAGAAATGCCTTTTACAAGTGCCTAACTAGGTTTTATAATCATAAAACCCATATTAATACAAATAACCTCTAAAACGCTATTTTCCAGTGAACCGGTCGTTTTGGCGTCTAAGTCCGATCTTGGACGTAGAACCATGTTCTAACCCATAAATCCATACTTATAACATGTGGAACCATACTAAGGGTCCTTCACATGATATATACCTCATATGGTAGAAGAAAAATGAAGAAGAAGTTATAATAAGGTCATTACCTTAATTCTTCACACTTTTCCCAACTTTTTCCCTCTTTAATCTTCCTTCTTTGGGCACTTAAGCTTGAGCTCGAGTTTGGTGGCTATGGAGGATGAGTTGAGAGGTTTCCTTCCTCTTTCTTGGTGCTTGGTCGAGCTAATGAGTGAGGGAGGGGAGGGGATGGCTCTCTTTGTCTCATTTGGCAAATGAGTGAGGAAAAGGGCCCCTTTGGGTGTACCTTTGATGCCCAAGCCTCCTCCTCCACATCTTCCTTAGTCAACTCCAGCCCCTCTTTGTCTAATCTAGCACAAAAACGTGGGGTGGCCCCCACTCATGTGGGAGGTCATCCCTTTGTGTCCCGATGTGTACAATCGGTCCCGAAAGTTGTATTTTTTGGACTGTTTTAAATATATTTTATTTTATCGGGTCTGTTGGGATATATTATCCCGGCCTATTACTGTTCATGAGTCCAAGGCTTTACGTAGTACGGGGCCCGAGCAGCTAGGCCCATTTCGGCCCATCCTGCCCACTTTAGCCATTTGGGCCCACTCTGGCCCGTTTGGCCCATTAGGGTGGAGAGCCCCTTCTCCCCTTCCCCTATTTATAGGAGGCTTCCCTCCATGTTTTAGGGATCCTCCTTTAGATTCATCTTCCTCCTTCTCTTAAACTTAGCTCAATACTCCATTAATGGGAGCTTGTACAATGTAATTGTGAGGAGAGTCCTAATGAGAAAGAGAGGGCTTGGACATTAGCCTAAAAAGTCCCGTGGTTTTCTCCCTTTCGGGTTTCCACGTAAAAACTGAGTTGTTCATACACATTTATACATATATTTACTATATCGTGTTGGATTAAACTCAACACTGGCGCCGTCTGTGGGAATCCGTCCAAAAAGATTCGTGTGTTCTACTGTTCTTGAGTTTCTGCAAAAATTCATACGAAGTGGACTGATTCTAGCAAAATGAAAAAGAAAAAATCTGGAAGTTTGGTCTGGGGAAGCTCTGGATCCGCCGCCAGCAGCTCCGTCCAACAGACCGATGAAGAAGAAAAGCAAAGAAGAAGTGTTCTGGAAAGGAAAAGGAAGAAGAAGGTACGAAGTGAAAAAGAAGAGAAAAAAGATGTTGTAAACGTTCAGATCCAGATATAGTCGGAAGGAGTAACCATGGCCGACTCAGCCGGCGGCGATGCGGCTCCGAGCCAGGGGTGGAGTGCGAACTCCGGTCTGCCTCGAGTTTCATCACCCCAGCCGCAGCTCCTTCATCAAGCCGAAGTACCGGTGGGCGTCGTGGCAGTGGACGAATCCACCTCAACCTCGGGACAGATGGGTTTCCGCCATTAATGGCGGTTTGGAGCTCATAAAGGTGTGTATTTCGGAGTTCCAACCACCGTACTCCGTATACTATTGCTCTGCTGCGACCACGATCCCCTCTGACCGCCCGTGCTCTGCTGCAACCACCATACCGCCGGCAGAAGGTGGCCGGCGTATGAGCTACGTCCGAGTTGATAGAGGGAGCTCCACCTGCCTTCTTAGAGATACACTGTATATAATGAATATGGCCCTCAGAAGACCACGTCTGCGTGTTTGGAGCCAAGCAATGGGGGGCCACCTTCTTTGGGGAGTTTTGACCAAGTCACAATATGTTGGAAGCTCAATTTGATCAAGTCAGACCTTTTCATCTAACCGAAACTTATCTCCAAGAGCTAAGTATCACATATGCTCCCTCATTCACATGTTAATTAAGTTTCAATAATGTTATTGCTATTAATTATTATCACATTATTTAATAGGGATAGAAGTATCCCGAACTTAAATAATGTCGAGCATGGCTCAAGTGAGTAAACGCTCTTGTGGTAATAATTACTTTTCACCGTCATTTTAATTAATGATTGGTTGTTATGGGCCCGTCGGCCCGCTCCTGATCGGCTTTAATTAGCGAGCGGAGTATACTTGAATGGCCTTTGATAGGGAAATATCATTGTTATTGCCTGTTACATCACTATTATTCATTAGGGATAAAATGTCCCGAATTAAATAATGTGGAGCGAAGCTCTGGTTGGTTCAGCCAACATTTTATTAAATATTTAATTTCTCGTGGGCCTGTTGGCCCACTCTCGATCAGTTTGATTAAGTGATCCGAGCGTCTCCAGAAAGGCGATGCCCCGACGACGCATTTTAATTTGGGGGTTACGCATTAGTCTGCACGGCATCAAGTGCCCGAGCGACGATCATACCCCAATGTAATCTACGCCATTAGGCGCGAAGTGACTATTGCCGAACGTGGCCTATGGCGCCCGAGGGCACCAAAGCACTCAACCTCGTTTTTCCGAGGGCAGTGCGACCAACTTGGGTCTGAGTTTGAAAACTCATAGACCAATGATTATATTTATGTGACGTTCGGCGGGCTGCTGATTGGCCCCGCCGCGAGCTGCTACGTCCATTAACCCTGCACGATGAGCCGGGCCGAGGGTCGCGATGACCCATAGGCCGGTAATCGTGGATGATAAAGACTCCGCCATGCAGACGGTTGTGTGTGCATATTTATTGTCGGGCCGTGCGGCCCGTTACCATGCTTATTGCGCAGATGAAGCCGCTCGACGCGCTCGAGCAAAATGATTAAAAGACGCTCGGCCCAAGTCTTGGGGACGTTCAGGGCCAGCTAAAGAGGAGACCATCGCGGCTGAGGACCGTGAGACGAGCATCTCCACCCCAGAGACCGATGGCCTAGGAGAGAACACCTAGAGGCCGAGGGTCTAGAGTGGACTACCACGACGGAGGACCGTGAGACGATCATCCATCATTCAGAGCCGGTGGCCTACAGGAGACCACTACGGCCGAGGGTCGTGGGACCATCCTTACATCACGCCGACCTCACGGTACGGCGTGTTTATCCTTTGAAGACCGGCCTCGTCCCCGCGATGCGCGGATGAGGACCGTTGCTGGATTTCAGGTCGGCCTGTCATTGCCGACATCACTATATCACGACCGGCCTCTCGGATCGGCGTGCTTATCTTTAGAAGACCGGCCTCGTCCCCGCGCTGCGCGGACGAAGACCGTTGCTGGATTTCTTTCAGGTCGGCCTCTCATCGCCGACATTATTATATCACGACCGGCCTCTCGGACCGACATGATCATCATATTTGAAGACCGGCCTCGTCCCCGCACTGCGCGGTCGAGGACCGTTGCTTGATTTCAGATCGGCCTCTCATTGCCGACATCATTACATCATGACCGGCCTCTCGGCACGGCATGATTATCTTATTTGAAGACCGGCCTCGTCCCCGCCCTCGCGGACGAGGACCATTGCTTGATTTTCTCAGATCGGCCGCTCATTGCCGACACCATTATACCACGACCGGCCTCTCGGCTCGGCGTGCTTATCTTTTGAAGACCGGCCTCGTCCCCGCCCTCGCGGACGAGGACCGTTGCTTGATTTTCTCAGATCGGCCGCTCATTGCCGACACCATTATACCACGACCGGCCTCTCGGCTCGGCGTGCTTATCTTTTGAAGACCGGCCCCGTCCCCGCCACCTCGCGGATGAGGACCGTTGTTTGATTCTTTCAGGTCGGCCTCTCACTGCCGACACTATCATGTTATGTTCGGCCTCTTGGCACGACATATTTATCTTTTGAAGACCGGTTTCATCCCCGCACTGCGTGGATGAGAGCCGTTGCTCGGATATATCGGCCTGACCTAGACACTATCGCCGTCTCCATTATCAGGACCGACTGCTCAGCGACATTATGATCATTGTATATCGGCTCCCAATGCCGACCTTCTTGAGTTAGCGATCGGGCTCACCCCTCCCCTTAGGAGGGTGACCATCGCCTTCGCATGACGACCAACGTCTCCATCGCCTTGTCATTATATTCGTTCGCTATGCCACCACCATTATGTGTGACATCCCGTGATCCCTGCGAGTTTCTTGGATACCGCATGTCTTCTTCGATGTAGGAAGATCGGTAGGACCACAGACCAGGGACGGACTAAGAAGAGCTAGGGAATCTCGATGTAGATAAACCTGTTCCTCCTTGCGAGTTTCGCGGATACCGAACGTCTCTTCGAAGCAAGAGCGCCGGTAGGACCAAGAACCAAGGACGAACGAAGAATATAGATTGCCTCCCTCAAACAAACAAAAAAAAAAGATGGGGAGAAGAGGAGGGTAGCTCCTATGTGGAAGGGAATATTGCCCGGGTGTGCCAGATCTTCTCCCACCGCCGAAGACGAACGCCTCTCGATGTAGAGGTTAGTAGAGACGCGGAGGGGGCTAGACGAACCAAGGGAGCCTTGCCAAGATAAACCTGTTCATCCCACAATGACCATGGATCGATGGACGTGGGATAACAAAGACGGGAACCCGTGAGGGTAAACCAGTTCGTCCCTGCGAGTTCCTTGGGTACCGAACGTCTTCTTCGATGCAAGAGACGCCGGTAAGACTAAAAGGACCAGGGACGAACGAAAAAGGGGGAATCTCGATGTAGATATACCTGTTCCTCATTGCGATGTCCGCGGATACCGAACGTATCTTCGATGTAAGAACGCCGGTAGGACCAAGGACCAATGACGAACGAAGACTAAAAGACTCCAAAAAAAAAAAAAAAAAAAAAAGATGCCAGAAGAGCACGGAGCAAAGAATGATTTTATCCCTTGGCACTATTGGCTGTGAAGTACAAACTGAAAAACATATGTAAAGAATAATTACAAGACTTAAGTACGAAGAATGAAGTGGCCGACGACGATCGGCTAACATCAGGTTTTCTTTTGCCTCGAACGACGATTAGCTCCCCAGATCAGGTAGAAAAGACACCGCCCAGATTTATTTCAGGCTCACCATTCCTTCCCGGATGGAGTCCTGGCAGACGATCGGCTTCTCACAGCCAATCAGGAGAGAGACTTGACACATCACCAGCACGGCCGAGGGCCGTGAGACGATTACCACTCACCGACAGGCCGAGGGCCATGAGATGATCATCACTATTTTTCTGTATCACTATCGGCCCCTCAGCGCCATCGTACTTGGCTTCACGGTTCGGCTCGCCCATTCCCTCCAGGATGGCGACGAACGTCTTATGCAGTGCGATCGGCCCCTCGGCGCCATCGTATTTGGCTTCACGGTTCGGCTCGCCCATTCCCTCCAGGATGGCGACGAACGTCTTATGCAGCACGATCGGCTTCTCAGCGCCGTCGTATCTCTTTCACGTTCGGATCGCCCCATTCCCTTCCAGGATGGCGACGAACGTCTTATGCAGTGCGATCGGCCCCTCGGCGCCATCGTATTTGGCTTCACGGTTCGGCTCGCCCATTCCCTCCAGGATGGCGACGAACGTCTTGTGCAGTGCGATCGGCCCCTCGGCGCCATCGTACTTGGCTTCACGGTTCAGCTCGCCCATTCCCTCCAGGATGGCGACGACCGTCTTATGCAGCACGATCAGCGCCCCAGCGCCATCGTGTCTGGCTCACGTTAGGGTCGCCCATCCCTTTCAGGATGGCGACGAACGTCTCTTATGCAGCACGATCAGCGCCCCAGCGCCATCGTGTCTGGCTCACGTTAGGGTCGCCCATCCCTTTCAGGATGGCGACGAACGTCTCTTATGCAGCACGATCAGCGCCTCAGCGCCATCGTGTCTGGCTCACGTTAGGGTCGCCCGTCCCTTTCAGGATGGCGACGAACGTCTCTCTTGCAGCACGATCAGTGCCCCAGCGCCATCGTGTCTGGCTCACGTTAGGGTCGCCCATCCCTTTCAGGATGGCGACGAACGTCTCTTATGCAGCACGATCAGCGCCCCAGCGCCATCGTGTCTGGCTCACGTTAGGGTCGCCCGTCCCTTTCAGGATGGCGACGAACGTCTCTTATGCAGCACGATCAGCGCCCCAGCGCCATCGTGTCTGGCTCACGTTAGGGTCGCCCATCCCTTTCAGGATGGCGACGAACGTCTCTTATGCAGCACGATCGGCTTCTCAGCGCCATCGTGTCTCTTTCACGTTCGGATCGCCAAATTCCCTTCCAGGATGGCGACGAACGTCTCTTATGCAGCACGATCAGCGCCCCAGCGCCATCGTGTCTGGCTCACGTTAGGGTCGCCCATCCCTTTCAGGATGGCGACGAACGTCTCTTATGCAGCACGATCAGCACCCCAGCGCCATCGTGTCTGGCTCACGTTAGGGTCGCCCATCCCTTTCAGGATGGCGACGAACGTCTCTTATGCAGCACGATTAGCGCCCCAGCGCCATCGTGTCTGGCTCACGTTAGGGTCGCCCATCCCTTTCAGGATGGCGACGAACGTCTCTTATGCAGCACGTCTGCCCCTCGGCGCTGACATGCCCGGGTTATCGTTGAGAGCTACCGCTCCTATCACATCTTGCATTCCCTCTCTCATACATTGCACCCATACATTACATGCATTCATGCATCATACCTCATACATTCATACAAACACACGTGCATCATGTTTTGACAGTACCGCGACGTCGGTTTATAGATGCGTGGACCTCTAAGCTTCTCCGATTGGAAAGCTCGAGTCAGAGTCCTTTACTCCCACCTGATGCATTCAGGGTGAGTGTGCCCGTGGAGGAGCACCGTTCGCCCGACCCTGTCGGGAAGGGGGGTGCCTCACTGGTAGATTACGTTCAGGAGTGCAGACACTCACTCATATATGATGATTATGTGAAGACACAGTTTCCAGCAAGACAGAGGAAGAGCGCAGGCAGAGTATATTTTCTCGAGCAGATTCGCGAGCTCACTACTCAAGAAACTGGGGGACTTGTGTTGGGATATATTATCCCGGCCTATTACTGTTCATGAGTCCAAGGCTTTACGTAGTACGGGGCCCGAGCAGCTAGGCCCATTTCGGCCCATCCTGCCCACTTTAGCCATTTGGGCCCACTCTGGCCCGTTTGGCCCATTAGGGTGGAGAGCCCCTTCTCCCCTTCCCCTATTTATAGGAGGCTTCCCTCCATGTTTTAGGGATCCTCCTTTAGATTCATCTTCCTTCTTCTCTTAAACTTAGCTCAATACTCCATTAATGGGAGCTTGTACAATGTAATTGTGAGGAGAGTCCTAATGAGAAAGAGAGGGCTTGGACATTAGCCTAAAAAGTCCCGTGGTTTTCTCCCTTTCGGGTTTCCACGTAAAAACTGAGTTGTTCATACACATTTATACATATATTTACTATATCGTGTTGGATTAAACTCAACAGGGTCCAATGAAATATATTACGTGTTCCCAATCGTAATGGCCTTTTGAAATAATATATATTCCAAAACATTAATTTAGAAGTCTCCGAAATTCATTTTCGGACTGTTATCTGTTAAATTGTCGGTACCGGTATTTGGGCTTCTTTTGACCAATCGGTCAACCCCAGGCCTTCCCATGGCCCAAATAAGATGTCCACCACAATATAAATATTATTTCGACCCATAAGAATAATTTATGTGATCTTGGGAATATCAGGCGGCCCCCGCTCCCGGTGTGGGTCCCATGTGCAATTTACTATTCACGCGAAAGAAATAATAAAAATTTACAACTTCGTAAATTCATTAATCCTTTAATAAGGTTCAATACATTATTTACATAAAAGTAAATATATTTTGGGACGGTGTTACAAGTTCACCCCCCTTATTTGGGATTTCGTCCCCGAAATCCAAGTATCTAATCGAAAAGAAATGGGTATTGCTCCCTCATTGAGACTTCGGTCTCCCACGTTTCTTCTTTGACCTGATCACTTCTCCACAGAACCTTTACCATATGAATCTCCTTGTTCCTAAATTTCTTCACTTGTTGACCTACTATCTTCACCGGCTCTATCGCATATTGCAAATCCTCACGGATCTCTACCAGCGGTTTCTCAAGAATATGAGATGGGTCCCGTGTGTACTTCTTGAGCATCGATACATGAAACACGTCATGTATCTTCTCAAGTTCTGGTGTCAACTTGAGACGGTAAGCCACGACCCCTATCCTTTCAAGGATTTCAAATGGACCGATGTATCGGGGGTTAAGCTTCCCCCTTGATACAAATCGGATGATGCCCTTCCAAGGAGAAATCCTTAGAAAAACCTCATCACCAACCTCGAACTCCAACGGTCTCCGCCGTTTGTCAGCATAACTCTTCTGTCGGTCCTGAGCAGCCCTTAGTCTATCCTGAATGATCCTCATCTTGGCCTTGGTGATCTCAACCAGTTCTATCCCTTCGAGTTTGGCCTCGCCAACCTCGTCCCAACACGACGGTGTTCTGCATTTCCTCCCATACAATGCCTCGTATGGAGGCATGCCAATACTCGCCTGATAACTGTTGTTATAGGCAAACTCCACTAGAGCCAAATGCTTGTCCCAACTTCCTTGGAACTCCAGAGCACATGCCCTAAGCATGTCTTCCAAAATCTGAATCACCTGCTCGGACTGTCCATCCGTCTGTGGATGAAAAGCTTTGCTAAACTTCAGTTTAGTCCCCAACGATGCTTGGAACTTCGGCCAAAATCGGGACGTGAATCGTGGATCCCTATTCGAGACAATGGATATCGGGACTCCATGTAATCTTACAATCTCCTCCGTGTATAGCTTGGCCAATCTTTCAAGAGGGTAAGTAATGTTGATAGGCAAAAAGTGTGCACTCTTGGTGAGCCTATCCACCACTACCCATACTGCATCGTAGTTGTTCACTGTTCGTGGCAGCCCCACCACGAAGTCCATGGTCACATGTTCCCATTTCCACTCTGGGATGGTGAGTGGCTGCAAAAGCCTTGCCGGGTGCTGATGCTCTGCCTTAACTTGCTGGCAAGTAAGGCATCGACTCACATACTCTGCGATGTCTCTCTTCATCCCTGACCACCAGTAACTTTCCTTCAAATCTCGGTACATCTTAGTACCTCCTGGATGCATAGCATATGCTGAAGAATGAGCCTCCTCCAATATAGATTTCTGGAGCTCCTCATTCCTTGGTATGCACACACGATCTTTAAATAATAAAAGACCATCATCACGTACCCGAAAATTCTCAACGGGCCCCTCAAGGATCCGTTCACGAATCTTTTGACACTCCTCATCAATGGCCTGACATCTACTGATCTCACCCAGCAATGTAGGCCTAACCTCAAACCTAGCAATGAGCGCCCCGCTCGTGGACACCTCCACGTGTGCCCTCAATTCTTGTAGACAAGTAAGTAACGTCCCTGACGTACTCTTCCTGCTCAGTGCGTCGGCCACTACATTGGCCTTTCCGGGATGATAGTCGATGATCAAGTCATAGTCCTTGATGAACTCCATCCATCTCTTCTGCCTCATATTCAACTCTTTCTGAGTGAATACATACTTCAAGCTCTTATGATCCGTATAAATGTGACATGTATCCCCGTAGAGATAATGTCTCCAAATTTTTATTGCAAACAATACCGCCCCCAATTCTAGATCATGGGTAGGGTAGTTCACCTTGTGTTTCCTCAATTCCCTAGAAGCATAGGCAATCACTTTACCGTTTTGCATCAGAACACATCCAAGCCCTTGGATGCTAGCATCGCTGTAAATATCATACCCTATCCCCTGTATGGGTAGGGCGAGGACTGGTGCTTCGGTAAGTCGTTTCTTCAGTTCAAGGAATCCTTGCTCACATTTGTCGTCCCATGTGATCTTGACCCCTTTCTTTGTGAGCTTCGTCAATAGAGATGCCAATACGGAGAATTTCTCGACAAATTTACGATAGTATCCCGCCAAGCCAAGGAAACTACGTATCTCTTTCACATTCTTGGGTCTCTCCCAATCCATAATAGCTTTTATCTTGGCGTTATCCACAGCAACGCCCGAACCGGATATGACATGACCGAGGAAACCAATCTCCTTGAGCAAAAATTCGCATTTAGAGAACTTGGCAAAGAGTTGCTTTTCCCTTAGCCAATCAAGTATAAGCCCCAAATGATGTTCGTGCTCCTCCTCGCTCTTGGAGTATATCAAGATATCATCAATGAATACTATCACAAATTGATCTAAGTATTCACTAAACACACGGTTCATCAAGTCCATGAATGTTGTCGGTGCATTGGTTAAACCAAATGACATCACAAGAAACTCGTAATGACCATATCTAGTGCGAAATGCACTCTTAGGTATGTCACTCTCCTTGATTTTCAACTGATGATACCCCGACCTCAAGTCAATCTTCGAGAATACTATTGCCCCTCGAAGTTGATCAAACAAGTCATCAATCCTCGGTAAAGGATACCTATTCTTGATTGTGACCTTGTTCAACTGTCGGTAGTCGATACACATTCTTAGTGTACCATCTTTCTTGTTCACAAAGAGTACGGGTGCTCCCCACGGTGATTGACTGGGTCTGATGAACCCGTTGTCTAATAATTCTTGCAGTTGGACCTTCAATTCTTGAAGTTCAGCCGGTGCCATTCGATAAGGAGGAATCGAAATGGGCTTGGTTCCCGGCTCCACTTCAATTACGAATTCGATCTCTCTATCGGGTGGAAACCCCAGTAGGTCCTTGAGAAAGACGTCCGGGTACTTGCACACGACTCGCACATCCTTGATGTCAACTTCTTTCTTTTCATCGTCTACCACGTAAGCAAGGTATGCATCTTCCTCATCATCTTCCGTGCCCTCATCACAGATATGATACATGCATGAGACTTTCCCCGATCTCCTTCGAAACATAGCGTGTTTCCTTGATCATCCTCGAGCTCCAACACTTTGGTGTAGCAATCCACTCGAGCATGGTGTTTCTCGAGCCAATCCATTCCTAGGATTGCATCGAACTCCAACATGCTTAGAGGTACGAAATCACAAGTCAAGGGTTGACCCGTCACTTCCACCTCACATGATGGATAGTAATGATTTCTCTCCACATCGTCTCCTAATGGTGTGGAGACTAGCAATGTTTGCGTCATAGGCGTCAATGGCACGTCAAGACCCTCAGCGAACGCCTCACTCACAAATGAGCGTTGTGCCCCGGTATCGATGAGGATCCTTACACCCCTACCATTGACCTTTAATGTTCCTACATTTATACACCATGTGAGATACGTTTTCTAATGTTTTTGGACACTTTTAGGAGGTTATTGGGTTCATATTAATGTTTGGAATCAAATGGGGGTCCAAACGTAGAAGAACGGAGCGGGAAAATGCAGTTTTGGGCGCTTGGGGGTCCAGGCACGGCGTGCCTGTAGGCAAAACATGTACCCACTCCCTGCCAGCCTCAGGCACGGCGTGCCTGGGTGGTAGGCACGTCGTGCCTGTAGGCAAAACGTGTACCTACACACTGCCAGCCTCAGGCACGGCGTGCCTAAGTGGTGGGCACGGCGTGCCTGTAGGCAAAACGTGTACCGAGTTTCTGCCTTCAGTCCGTTTTGTCCCAAACTCGCCCGATTTGACCCCGGGGTGGCCTGCAACCAACCCCAATGACGTATATGATCCAAATAAGCGTAGAAATACAGAGAAATAAGTGTATTACCTGTAACGGAATCCGGGTTTGCTCGCGCATCCGCCTCAGTCATTGCGTACACTCGAGCTTGGGTCCCACCTTGGTTGACGGATGCGGCATGGCTTGTGGATGCGCCGCCTCTCCCCGTGCCGCCGTTTGATGGTCCCGCACAGTTTCTTCCCGTCGTGGTCCCTTTTCCGGTCCCCGGAGCTCCTCCTCCCAATTGTGGGTAATTAGCCTTCATGTGGCCCGTGTTCCCACATCGATAACACCTCGGGGGTGCGTTACACTTCCCGAAGTGATTCTTTGAACAGTTGGCACACTTAGGAGGCCCCGTATTTTGAGAGGAGGATGGGTGCCACCGAGCATCCTTGTTCTTCTTCGCCGGTGGTGCCGGCGCCTTGAACGTACCACCACCCCACCGTCGTTATTCCTTTGTGTTTGCTCGGGCGGCCCCGAACTATGCCATTTTCTCTTTTTCGCCTCCTCGGCGTCTCTTTCCTTTCTCTCATTCCATTGAGCCTCCCCAAGAAGGCCCTGCTCCACCACCTCGCTAAAGGTCATGTGGCGCGAGTACGTAGCCCGATCACGGATGTCCAAGAGTAAGGCATCCCAAAAGTGCTCCGCCATGCGGTCCTCATTGATCGCGTACTCCGGCAAGAACCTAGCCAAGGTTCTAAAATCTTGCTCCAACTGTTTAACAGAACAGAACCACCCTCCTTCTGTTTGAGGTTGGTGTACTCCCTACGCTTGACGTTCTTCTCATAGTCGGTGTAGTATTGGTCATAGAATTCCTGCTCAAAATTTAACCATGAGACCTCCCCATGGTATTTCCCTTCTACACTCTCCCACCACGTGGAAGCTATCCCCTCAAGCAGCCGTGAAGCAACAATCAACAGTCCTTAAAAAATAAGCAAACGTAAGAAAAAAATAGAACTTCTAACTCTGCTTGAGTAGCAGGAGTTAGCACCGGGAAAACACCACCGCCTCATCTTCACTTCTGTAATTCCCTCATTGCGTCACGGATAGCCCGGTCGATTCGCGCCAGACAAAAGAGGGGCATTAATGAGAAGCTTGTTGCACTTCTATTATGTCGCGAAAGGAATAGATCAAAGCAGAATGGGAGAAAAAGAAAAGAAGTGAGACGGCATGGGCCCTGAGGAATGGGAAAATAGCCCGGAAAGAGAAATTGAAGTGCGGGGGAGAGGGGCTTCTTTTATTTAAGTAGGGACAAAAATGGTATTAAGGAAAAGAATGGTCCTATTTAGGTTTTAAAAAGTAAGAGGTCTTATACGGGTACATAAGTTATTATTTAGTCCTATTGAGGACCATTTCTCTTTATTCTACTACATTAGATCTATCAAAATGCAACAGAAAATTAGTAGACATGATTAGAAGAGGTGGTGATCCTTAACTAATCAGATTTTTTTATTCTTAAAAAACAATTGTGTTTTGCATGTATGGTATATATTTTGGTGTTACTTTTTCTCCCTTCAATTTGATCATTACTAATTGAGTGACATGTTTAAATTTGTTAGTATCACATCTATCCCACCGGAGTGACCGGACATTGCGCACTTGGAATTAAGTGGGAAATAAGAATAGTAAAAATTGTATGATAAATATTTGTACACAGTAAAAAAAATGAACAATGTTTTCGGAACAACTAAAAAGGAAAGAAAAAAAAGTTCAATGGATTAGAGAGTAATATAATAGCAATTAATGTGTTTTAGAATATTTTTAATTAGACTGATTTAAAACTCAAATAAGACATAGACATAGACCAAATCTAACCTGATTAGACTTGACTTAACCAAGCTTCGACAATTATTAGACCATACTGAACCAATTTAGATCAAACATAAACAAACAAAAATCCTTGGTCAAGGGTAGATAACTGCCCCTCATTAAAAGACCACATCAACTAAGTACACTTGAAACCAAGCAGGCAAACATCATTTGCACAGCAGAGCATTTCCTGTACTTGACCATTTTCTTATCAACGCATCATCTTTTTCTTCTTCTACACGGCCTAATACTTTCAAAGTAGGTCTTTTTTTCAACAATGGTGCCTAAAAACAAAATCAGTAGATTGCAATTCAACTGGCATAATGCATTACAGAATAGTTGTGTACACATGACAAACTATGGCTTTCTCAAGGGTGTCTCCAGTTATGCTGGCATATTTGCAGCAACAAATCTATCAACATTATCATTTACTAATGAAATCAATCATGTTGTAGGTTTTGAAGGTCTGCACAGATCTACTGCAAGGCTATATGAACATGCAACACTCAACCACTGATCATGAAAGAATTGAATTCTAGGAATTCTTTAAAAAAGAATGAAACTCTGTAATTTCTGTATAAGTGTGTAATAATATTGGTATGAATCACCAATCGCGGAAGTCGATGCTTCTAAGTTCTTGATATGCCAAACATTTTCATGGCAATTGCATGAAAGTCACAGTAAAGCTTCATGCCAAAGCAGATGAACATGAAAGTCTTCCTGTTGGAGGGAGCTCTTGCACTTGGTGGTGAACTTAACAATGAGATTAGAGCATAGCACTATATTTCATAGACCCAATCAAATTACTCTTTCTAGGCTTTCTCACATATACAACCAGGCAGAGGATTGGCATAGAAACTTTCTTCCAACTTTGGGAATTCGCCTGGTTCCCTCGTACAAGGAGCCCCAGTCCGATTCTCATGAAGTTTCTTGACTTTGGAACTAAACTTTTCCCACGAGATCTTTCCTCCATCCAGTTCATCGACTAGCTTCACAAAATTCATCCTGCATATGTTACATCACTAATTAACTTTAAGTGCATGTTTATTAAACAGAAAATGATTGGTTTAAATAGGTGTTTAGTCCCAGCAAACATAGTGTTTTTTTGTTTTAGGTATCTGCCTTATCTTTTTGTTCTTCATCTATGTGATTTACGCTTTCTTTTCGGTCTCTTCGTATCTATACCTCTGGACTAATAGGCGTTCTGCCTATCTTTTTCACATCGTTTCAATTTTATAGAACACTTGAACTTTATATCTAGAGTCATTTGAACCTATATTAAAACACATTTGTGTAGTTATAAAAAGTTGAGGTGGAAGTTCAGAGCAAAACTATACAAGCAACATGAGTTTTCCTCAAAAATGAATATTGCCTTGGAATTAGAGAAAAGCTAAAAAGAACACAGCTTCTATTGCTAGAATGACAAGACAAATTTACCGAATCGAAAACAAAGTGTCATTAAGTGTCATATTTGCAGACACTAGAATTATATTTAAAATCATATTTAAGTCTACCATTCCCACTTAATCATGATAAACATGAGGCGATTTGGAAATTACCTGTCAGGATTGATAGTTTTCTTGAAATCCTCAAACCGCCTATGCCCCTGTACAGCCTTTGCCATGTTTCCATCATAAGTATAAAGAAAAACGTCACTCAGAAGTGCAACAACATAGTCCAGACCAGCCAACATGTTTTGGTGATTCCTGAAAGGACTTAATTCTTGGCCTGACGAAAGAGTCGAATGAGAGAAGATATTTGGGAAGTTATCGAAAAGATATTGCATGCTACCCTTGCCATATGCTTCACCCGCCACCAAGTAAATCGTAGTGGTGGAAGGGAAGTCAAGACCCTTGAGCAAAAGGGCAGTCTCCCTAGGGGTCAAGGGACACCCGCCAAGCTGCCTTCTCTCTGCCCCGTCAATCTCCTTTTCCTTCCAATGGCTGACTTCATACCTCATCGTACGAAGTTCGTCATCCTCTTCTGCTGTCAAATTATGACTGCAGCCTGTAAAAGCAAGCATATCTTTCTCATACCTGCAAGAAGACAAGGTAATTAATTGGAGGTAAAATTCCAAAAAAAAAGAGTTATGATCTTCTTTTATTCTTTTCATGGATAGGATGTGCCCTACTTTTAACACACACAAAAGATACTCCTGTTTGTGCATATGACCCATGTTTCACTCCTATGTGTGCATATGACCCATGTTTTACTCATATCCATGCATGTGACCCATGTTTCACTCCTATTTTTGCATATATCCCATGTTTTACTCCTATTTGTAGGAATTCTTTTATTAATTAGGAAGGAGCCCTGAACAAAAACTACACATATATCACAAGCAAAAATGTTTATATGATAATTAAAAAATACTACTACAAAACAGACCTTAAATGTAGAGCAAGATAAGGGTTTCCATTTTTCCTCAATCTTGATGCAAAAGCTTTCCCAAGTTCTTCAATGGCAGCAGAGTACTTTAATGCCTGGTAATTTACACGGCATCTCAACTTCTGTATAGAATTTGGAATCCCATTGTTGGCAAGCCTGGAATCAGTGTGAGTGAAGTACATCAATTTATTCTGCTTGAGCAGTGGAAGGACCTCTGATTTGTAATAACTAACCTGAGAAAAAAACAAATAAAAATAGTAAAGACGCCATGATTCACATTAAAATGCACGAATAAGTAAGCAACTATGAGCCCCAGAAGGCACACTAGACAGAAAGGTTAGTTCTCTTACACACAGTAATATGTTAGCGGACCCCAAAATCTTTTGGGAATAAGGATTGGATGTTGTTGAAAGCACATTTTTTTATTTTTGTAGCTAAACAACTCCTTGTAAAAGTAAGACTACTTTTCATCTTCTAAAATACTTTACTCCTTAAATATAAGTCACTCTTTGGTTAATTTTCCATTGTGAACTTGTGAAGTGAGCATGATATGGGACAGTCATGATATTTCCCAAAACATCCAAGTCAGTATTCTTGTAAAAAGTTTATGTTCAAAGGACTTAACCTTTGACCAAGATATTGGTGTTTTGTTGAAAGGTTCAACTCCTAAAAATTCAGGCGGCAATTCCTCAACTATGTGAATATCGTCCTTCAAACTCTCAATGAAGTGTTGCCAGTCAAACAAATCTTTAAAGCCACTGCATAAGAAGACAGGATCGACGAGATGGCCATAAGATAACTCTATAAGCAAAAAATTACTTTCCGTAGTAGTAAAAAGAGCACTTGCAGCATAACTCTTCTTAAACAAACCTTCAGCTAAATGCTTACTACAGTAAGTATATGTCATATGCTAATAGCGGCATTTGGCACATATTACTTGCACACATCTTAGTTTTTAGTTTTTACCAGTTAAAATCTGTTTCTTGTTTTCCAGTTCTGATTTATGTATTATTGCTATAATAATCTCATTATTAAACTAAAGTCCAACACCTCTCATCAGCCCAGTAGGAAGTGTGATCAAGAGATGGAAGTACAAACGTTGCCTTCATGATTTTAGCCACAGCAACCATATCACAGATCTGCATTCTAGACATATTTCTTTATCAGGTCAAAAATCTGGGAGTACAATATTAGTATTTAATAAAAATCACATACATGATACATTATTGTTAAAAAATAACAACCAGACCCCAAATCTCATCTGGTTTAATCCACCATTGGCATTCATCAGAATATACCCATTTGTCTTTCCATCTAGCTCTGCACAGAATTAAATAATAATAATAATAATAATAATAATAATAACAATAGAATAAAAGCAGTAACAAATGATATAGGAACACAGAAGAATCCTTCTTCAAATCAAGACTGAATTTGTAACAGTTTGGGAGCTTACTTCTGTGACTTTTTGGCCGATCAATGCATTTTGTGAAATTTACACTGTTAGGTTTGGACCATATCTCTGAATACTGAAATGTTAAAAAAAAAAAACTTTGCTGAAACTAAATAAATGAATAAAATTTCATGAAAGTAGACTCTTTTGCATTATCTAGAAGCCAACGCATTTGGAAATTGATCTAGGACCTACAACTGCCTTGTTTTGACTACGAACCTCCCCTGAAGCTAGCATATTTAAGGGCTCCACCACCTCACTCTCTCCATCTCTTTCACCATGATATCTCACCGAATATCCATTGTAATGTTCATGAGACCCTTGATGCCTCATAGTTTGGCGATTGACAAGAGAATCTGAAAAGTCCTACATAACAACATTCAACAATAAAACCAAACTCATTTAAACTTCAGATGCAAGAATGTTCTCAAAATTTCATTCCTGGAAATATCAAATGCTTCTATAATGTGTAGGCTACATGTTTCTGGTTTTCATGATCCACTATTAATAATTTAATACTACAGGTGTTCATGAACCATTAGTCCATATGTAAGTAATTATAGTTATACAGAAATAAGTAATTGTAGTTATATAAAAATTAGGCCATGTACTGCCACCATAAGATTCTAATTATCTGTTGAAAAAAAAACGAAAAAAAACAGGTAGCTCTTTACAAAGTTGCATAAATCTCACATCAAAAATGCTTGAGGTACACACTTTGTGTACACACTTTGTGTACACTCGTCTGTCTCTTAAGAAAATTTTGTCTGTCACAGACAATTCATATATGAGTTGTCTGTGACAGACAAAATTTTCTTAAGAGACACACGAGTGTACACGAAGTGTGTACACAAAGTGTGTACCTCTAGCATTTCTCATCTCACATATAAGCTGTGTCTATGAGAACAAAAATAATGTTTTTATAAGAAGGGTGTTGTTACAAGTCATTTACAAAATAGGAAAAAAACCATCGGTGCCTTATTTGCCTGAAGTGGTAAACTTTCATCTATGGATTGAAAAAAACCTAAGACTCATTGGCTTGCTTTAAAGTTACCAAATTTTAGTAAGTTAGGGTAGTTAACTTTCTACTTACGTCATCAACATCCCTCAAGCATGGAGGGACTTTCCTTAACAATAGATCACAAATCCAACATGCTATATAAACATCTGAATCTCCAAAATAAAGCAATTCAGCTAACAGACAGAATAACTGAATCAACCTGATTCAATCCAGTCTTTTCAACAGCGGATCCAAACCAGCCATAAGCACAGAACTTGAGAAGACCCAAGAACAAGCACAGGCTGCAGAAGACCAAGAACATTAAGTGCCCTAATTTCTTCTTTCCCTTGAGCTCCAATCCACCAAAGCCCAAATCCACACCCAAAGATCCAATCTTTCTTCTCAAATGAACTCTTTGGATCACACTACTCAAGTGGGTCTGAGCTTGTTTCTTCTCTACCACTGATTCGGACCCGTCGCCCAAAAGAGGGCTCGCATTTCCCTCAGATCTGGGCGAGTTCAGATTGAGGTCAATCTCGTGGTGGGTGTTCAGCGAGGTAGAAGTGCCGCTACTGCTATGGGAGGTCTGATTAGCGCCGACATTATTGGAGCGCTTGAAGGAGTGGGCTCGGCGGGTCATGGAGCCCGAGAATCTCGGACTGTTGACCCGCGGCGAAACTCCATCTGTCGCCGTGGAGTGGTGGTGACTGTTAGGGTGGTGGCCCATAGCCGAGTATGCGCATAAGTAGTCTATATGTATTGATCAGCGGCGTGGTTTAAAATGATTGGCATTAACAGTGAGAATGGTGGCAGAATACCGGAACGAATGAGATAGGCAGAGATGGTCTTTGCCTGTCTGAAATCCAAGTTGATGAGAAGTGTGTAAATTGTCTTTTCCCCTTTCTTTTTCTTCAATAATGGAGGAGACCGCCATTTTCAACGACTTTTCAATATCTTTTTTGGAGGCACAGATACTATAATTATTACTTGCTTTTTGTGTAGATTAATATTAATATTAGGAAAAATTGATTGTAATAATCCCAATTATTGGCGGTCCGTTTATAATAATCCCAACTATCAATTATTTTAGAATAATTCCAACTTTATGGTCCTTCCGCCAATAACAGTCTCTGTAAATAAATTCATGTACTTTCTGAAGTGGATGAGAAGAGATATAACAAGTAATCTCTATAAATAATCTCAACTTTTAATTTTTACGCTTAATTTCTATTTAAAATTCACTTTTATAGAAGGTAATATTTGGTCATGGACCATTATTGGCGGATGGTCCATATAGTTGGGATTATACAAAAATAATCAATAGTTGAGATAATTGTTAGTGGACCGGCAATAGTTGGGATTATTATTTTCAATTTTTTCTTAATATTATGGAAAGTTCCCCTAATAAGAAGTGTTATGTTTTTCATAAATAGGAGTAACATAAAAGTATTTATCATCATTTCGAGTTATTATTGTTAATATAATTATAATATTATGCATAACATGACAATAACAACTTATATTTAGGGAAGAAAATAAGTATTTATTTTCTTCCAATCCAAACCAAAATATGTATTTATGGGTGTCAAAGTGGGTCAGGTGTAGCCATGGGGAATACGTGTTGTCCGTATTTACCCAAGAGAGAGGACACCACGGAAGAATGTAGTGCCGCAAGATCCAACAACAACAACAAAAATTACCCTAAATACAACTAAAATGTTGCATAAGTTTTGAATTAGGACTTTAAATTTATTGTTCCCTAAATAGGACTCCAGATTACAAATGTACTCTTAATCTAATTAAATCACAATTGATTGCAACGTAGACCCCATCTGGGTCGATCTCCATCACCGTGGACTCCATCTTGATTGATTTCTCCAGAGGCAAAAATCAGTCGTGGTGTTTCGTGGTGAAGATGACGAGGGAGACGCTAATTTGGGCAGCAGTTTCAACCCATTGGCAGACATAACAGAGGGTCATCGTCAGTGCCCACGATCTGTGAAAGTATTAACATCAAATTGAAGCGGAAGGAGATGATAAGACGCCATTTGAGTCGAGAGAAGGTTGGGAGAGGGATGATTGGCAGCGGTGGAGGTGTTATGGGCACCTCTCCTACAATTTCTCCAGTCAAGCCAGGTAGATCTTCCTCCCACTCCCCCTCCCCCTCCAACTCCCCCTAACCCTAACCCTCCCCCTCCCCATCCTCCTCCTCCTCCTTCTCATTTGGTTCCTTCCTTCTCCTCTTCTTCTCCACATCTGGTTCCTGGTGCTCTGATAATTTTATATCAATGAGATTCTAAACAAAAATTCTAATTTGAAAATTTTGAGTTCAATTTCTGCAAACAAGAACTAATCGGATTTCAACTTTATCAATATTGAATCTTAAGATACCCTAACTACTAATTTTTTAAATTATTGATAATTTAAAAAATATCACTTTTATAACAATACTATGGCAATCTCACTTTGAAATCATAGTATTTGTAATGCCATATTTTTTATATTTTGCCAAATGATGTCATTTTTAATGAGACTAAGTGTATAAAAAGCAAAAGAGAATTTACCCTAAATAGGACTAAAAACGTTTGTAAATTCCAAAATGGAACTGCCATGTTTTTAATTCCTAAAATGGGACTAATTACTGTCATGTTTTGTCAGTACCAGACTTGAAACATGACAGTATTTTCCAAACTTGACAGTAATTACTCCTACTTTGGGAATAAAAACATGACAGTCCTATTTTGGAATTTACAAACGTTTTTGGTCCCATTTCAGGAACTTTCCCAAAGCAAAATCATTTCTCACTTTTCTTTTCTTTTTATTTTCTTCTCATATTTTAGATTAATTTGATGATTGCATTAATTTCCCACGAATGGGAATCTAAAATTGTCATCATTTTTTACCTTAAAAATTATATATTTTCACAATAAGAAAATGTCTTATTTCTATACAAAAATGTCTTATTTCTATACAAAAATGTCATTATCATGTCAGTATTCATATCAAGTGGTATTCCTGCTAGAGATTCCAGGAACTTGCCAGGCAGCGACGCTCCACCAGAGGATGACGGCGGTGAGCACAATGAATGCTCGGCCTTAGCATGCTTGGCTCGACTTCCTTGGGATGCTCGACCTTGGCATGTTCGGCTCAGCTCGCTCGGGGTAACAACCTAGGCTTTCTCGACTCGCCCCGCCCGGGACGTTCGACCTCATCTTAATCAACTCGGCTCGCTCGGGGTGTTCGACCTCGGCTTACTCAGCTTGGCTCACTCAGGCATTCAACCTCGGCTTGCTCACTCGGGACATTCGGCCTCGACTTACTCAGCTCCGCTCACTTGACATGTTAGTAGTGTGCATACCCCCTAAAAGATATTTCAAGCCCTTGAGTAGTAAGTCACCCAAATAGCCCAGTAGTACGTACTCGCTACTTCAAGAATGTCTACTGGTCAGATCAATAATCAATAATCCACAATAGTACCGAATCCACCCGGAAGCAGTAGCAGCCCCTAACCAACCCCTCACAACTAACTGTAGTGAAGGAGATCGACACCACAAATTTCTCTCGTAATGTCCACAATTATGAAAATTTATTTTTATCTTTCTTTTCCAAAAATTCCATATCAGAATCCTTCGCAATTAATGGTCGTGAAAGGGACCAACATCACATATTTCTGTCGTGATGCCCATAATTACGAAAGTTGTTTTTATCCTTGATCTTTTCCAAAAATTCAATATCTCTTATCCTTAATTTAACTCATAATTTATAAAATAGTTCACATTCTCAAATACTATAAAATATATTTGTCTTTAATAAATAACAAAAGCTCATATCTCTACAATCTTATCAGCATGAATAGAGGTAATTAAGGACATAACACATAACTTAAAAATGTTGGTGTCACTTCTTGTTAAATATGATAGTACTCTTGGATGTAAGAGTTGTACAAGTTTTTTCTATAATCTTGCCCCTACAATCTTATTAGCATGAATAGAGGTAAGGAGATAACAGGTAACTTAAAAATGTTGGTGTCACTTCTTGCTAAATATGATAGTACTCTTGAATGTAAGAGTTGTACAAGTTTGATAATATGTATACACTTACACGGTTAGACATTTGTCTCCGTCAACTTTATTTTTAAAAGAGCCTCTGCTTACTTTGTTAGTCTTTAGCACTACTTCAAATACTGTAGTTTTTAATAGGGAAATTTACCGGGATATGACTAAAACTCAATGAGTTTCTCAATCTATGACCTAACTAGTTTTTATACCTTTGTATGACCAAAAATCTAAAAAAAAAAAATAGAAAATTCGTTTATATTTAAATGCTGAATGACGAAAATACTCTTATTTAAAATATGTGCATTTTGCACTAATTTCTTCCAATTAAAATTACTGCACTTTATATTGCCGTTAATGCACAAAATTAATGCATGACTTTACTGCACATCCGGTAATAATCACTGAACTTCCGCCAAAATTAGTTCTCTTCTCATTCACTTGATGAATTTATTTTTTATTTTTTGTTTTTTTAGATTGAATAATTTTATTATTTTACGTCTAATTAATTATATTGCATTTCATGATGATATTAGTGTTTTGTGTTACTACAATAATGGTCATAATCACTCCACAATTTTCACTGTCATGTAAAATATGTCTATTACCATATATATTCATTGCCCACACACAACACTTATTGAAATCTTCATTGTCGATGTTCAATGCCCATATTTAATGCCCACAAACCATAATCAATACCCATAAGCCCTAATTTCACAAATACAAAAATAAGAACTAAAAAGTTTAAAGAAATTAAATAGTAGCACTGTCGATTAACAAAAACCCATGTGATGTCATGGTCCCAAAGAGAAATCGTGTAATATCCTACGCACATTATTATTATTATTGTTGTTGTTGTTGTTGTTGTTGTTGTTATTGTTATTATTATTATTGTTATTATTATTGTTATTGTTATTGTTATTGTTATTGTTATTATTATTATTATTATTATTATTATTATTATTATTATTATTATTATTATTATTATTATTATTATTATTATTATTATTATTATTATTATTATTATTATTATTATTATTATTATTATTATTATTATTATTATTATTGTTATTATTATTATTATTATTATTCTTACTATTATTATTCTTACTATTATTATTCTTACTATTATTATTATTATTATTATTATTACTATTATTATTATTTGTATTATTATTAGAAGATTCTTATATTTTTATTAATTAAGGAAAAAATTGTCATTAAGAGCCTCTTTGGTGATTCTGTTTCTCGACTTATGAGTCTTATGAAACAACTTTTTCACCAACATGCAACTTTTGATTTCACACGTTGAATTATATAATAATCAAAATAAGTAAGATTGAAGTTACTTTTGTTGCGGAGACTATATACATTGCAAAAATAAAGCTAAAGCATTAAGTTATAGAAATTATTTTGGGCATTTTCTTTATCGCGCAACGCGCGTTAAGAAACTAGTCTATTTATAAAATTGAATCTCAGTCCTTGTATTGTTTGAATAAGAGATTACAAAATCTTCGGAATTCAAATAAGCTAAAGAAGAAAAGGATGGGCACACTCAGTGCCGGTCCTACCTAAACTTAGGCCTGAGTCGAGCTTCATAAAATCAACCTCATACATAGTGTTTGTTTATCATATAAATTCACTAAAATTGAATGATTAACTATCACAAAAATGTAATCCTTCAATAAGTCTTCCATTATCACAAAACGACATTGAATGTATTAAAAATTTATTTAAGTAAAACCCGTCAAACAGTTTTAGATACATAATTTAGTGGAATCCTCAACAATATATACTATTAATTTCTCTACAAATCAGCC